CCTCCCAGACCTTTGCCTCCTAGATGCTGCTCCTCCTAGATGCTGCTCCTCCTCTCAGACCTTTGCCTCCTAGATGCTGCTCCTCCTAGATGCTGCTCCTCCTCTCAGACCTTTGCCTCCTAGATGTTGCTCCTCCTAGATGCTGCTCCTCCTCCCAGACCTTTGCCTCCTATATGCTGCTGCTCCTCCTCTCAGACCTTTGCCTCCTAGATGCTGCTCCTCCTCTCAGACCTTTGCCTCCTAGATGCTGCTCCTCCTCTCAGACCTTTGCCTCCTAGAAGCTGCTCCTCCTAGAAGCTGCTCCTCCTAGAAGCTGCTCCTCCTAGAAGCTGCTCCTCCTAGAAGCTGCTCCTCCTAGAAGCTGCTGCTGCGTGGGTCTCTGGGCGCAGCTTCAGGCTAACATGTCCCTCTGTTCTCCTCCAAAGGCTCCGGCTCGCTGGCTGCCATGGCGGTCTTTGAGGATCGTTACAAACCGGACATGGAGGTGAGTCCCCTCCCCCACCTGTTGCTCTGCTACAGCCGCCTGTGATGAGAGATTCAGCATCTATGTTGTTGTCATCAGGAGGAGGATGCCAAGCGGCTGGTGAGGGACGCCATCGCTGCAGGCATCTTTAACGACCTTGGCTCCGGCAGCAACATTGACCTGACCGTCATCACCAAGGGCAACGTGGACTACATCCGACCCCATGATGAGGCCAACAAGAAGGGCGTCAGGTGAGCACATCCAGGAACCTCCCATGTTCTGTTGGTGGCCTCTTGCCACCCGTTAGATCATCTCTGACTAGTTTGAACCAGTTTGACCTGAGCCTGACTTCCTGTTCTGGTGCCTGTTCTGCCTGAAGCCTGAATGAGCCTGAAGGATGCAGGCTGTGAGTACGGCCGGGTGTTTGTGCTCCGCTAGCCGATGCTAACAGTGTGCTGTGCTGTAGGATACCGGTTTATGCTAGGATTATGAACATGGTCGCTAACCGCCGCTAACACACAGTGTGCTGTAGGATACCGGTTTATGCTAGGATCATGAACACGGTCGCTAACCGCCGCTAACACACAGTGTGCTGTGCTGTAGGATACCGGTTTATGCTAGGATCATGAACACGGTCGCTAACCGCTGCTAACACAGTGTGCTGTGCTGTAGGATACCGGTTTATGCTAGGATCATGAACATGGTCGCTAACCGCTGCTAACACAGTGTGCTGTGCTGTAGGAT